GGGGGGGGGTAAATAGCCAGCACGGCACCTCTTCAACACGAGTGTGCCGTGCTACAAAGCCATGGACACACTGTGGCGAGTGTGTTATGAGGCTGCTTACACACGCGCATGGCTCAGCAAGTGCCTGGGTTCAAACCCTAGCAGCAGCAGTTGCATCCCGGATCTTGATAATATAAATCCGGGAGCGGGGCGGGGCAGCGGGGCCGCATGGCGCGCGTGCGCGTGCGGCGGCCTTGGCCTCGGCGCTCGCGCGCACGCGTCGTGATGCAGATTCCTTTTTCGCCACGTGGAGCTCTCCTGCCGCAGCACCTTCTTTTCGTCGTTTTTCCCGCTTTTTTTGCCCGAAAACGCCCCAAAAACAGCCAAAAGCCCGACCGTCGGGTTTTGCCATATTTCGCTGCCGTATTTCGCTGTGCGGTGTGGTGGGTGGGGGCGGGGACCGTTCCCGCTCCGATACCAATGTAGCGGACCCACCAGGTGTGGTGCTCCGCTAGTGACRGAGATGGAGATGGAGGAAGAAGGGGGAGCAAGATGGCACAACGCAGCTCCCCACGCAAGACTCCAACGCACGTACTCCAAAATGTGCAAGTGAGGAATGACAATGGCTGGGGTATACCCCAGCGGAATGACCGGATTGGACTGGACTGGCTGGTACCGACAGAGGTACCGGCCTGGACTGGCCTACCCCAAATATAACACAGGCCTGTGAGAACAGGCCAAGGGGCTGGTCTCACAGGCCAACCCGAGGTCCGCTACAAGAGACGCAAAACGTCCTGAAGAAGAGATGATGATGGAGTACCTGATGGTGTGAGTCAGTGGGGAAAGATACAGGATAAGATTGTCAGTTATCGTAACGCGAAGGACAATGATGAGTGCGCTGTGGACGCTCGGAGGCGACCGTCTGCGGTTGAGGAACGACCTCAAAGGGAGCGGGCTCATCCTCAGCAATCTCCTCAGCCGGAGGAGGAAGAGGGTCAGTCGGCTGAGTAGAAGAAGATGTCTCATCACGACGAGCACGATCATATGCACGCACCAACATCCTGACGTGTTGCAAGTGCTCGAGGGGCTCCCAAGTAGCCTCCTCATCAGAGTAGCCCTTCCAACGCACTAGGTACTCGATGCGTGGAGGGGTATCGTCGGTAACTCGGCGTGATACGATGTCGGAAACATCGAACTCCTCATGACCATCCACCATGATAGGTGGAGGGCGCTCATAAGGGTGTCCGGCGAAGCGCTGGGACGGTCTGCGATAAGGACGCAGCAAGGAGACGTGGTAAACATCGTGTACGAGAGCCTGTCGGAGGTAATCAGGTAGCTTTACACGGAAGCTGACCGGACTAGCGGCAGGAATCAGAACCCACGGCCTGAAGGATGCGACATGGACCGAAGAAATGGCGCCTGAACTTGCGAAGCGTATCTGCTTCGAGCTGTAAGTGGCGTGCGTCGACGAGCACATCGTCACCGACTTTGAACGGCTGATCCATTCGTGATCAGTTCGCTCGTGCGGCCATGCGAGTCTGGGAGTCGGCTAAACTCTCGTGTGCGCGCTTCATAATCGCCGCCATGTGGGCGACTCAGTCATCAAGTGCAGGGCAACGAGTGTCCGGGCGCAACCGTGATGGTTGTAGAAAATCCGCGGGTACGCGAGGGTGGTAGCCGAGGTCGCAATAGAATGGCGACATCCTCGTGGCTGGCGAAACAACGTGGTTGTACGCAATCTCCGCGTGGGCTAAGTGTAAGTCCCACTGCTGGTCATCCCTAACAAACTTTCGTAGGATGTTACCGAGAGTTTTATTGGTGACCTCAGTCTGACCATCCGTCTTAGGGTGGTAAGACGATGAGAAGCGGAGCTGCAATCCGTACACCTCGTGTAGGCGTCGCACGAATGTGCTTGTAAAGCGCGGGTCACGGTCGGAGATGATGCTCTGAGGTAAGCCGTGATCTCCACAACTCGGTCTAAGACGATGTGGGCGACCTCACGAGCGCTAATGCGATAGCGGCACGAGACAAAATATGCACGCTTTGTGAAGCGATCAACGACGACCAAGATAGCATCATGACCGCGCTCAGTGGGTGGGCGGAGGGGACCAATGAAATCCATCGAGATGGACTGCCAACGACCCTCACGTATGGGTAGGGGCTGAAGTAACCAATATGGAATGTGGTTCGCACTGTTCACCTCCTGGCAGGTAGGACACTCCTGGATGTAGGCTTTGACAAAGTCCTTGGACTTCGACCAGACGTATAGGCGGAAAACACGAGCCTACGTCTTGTGAAAACCCATATGACCGGCAGCTGCCTGGTCATGGAACTGTGCTACAGCCTGGACGCGGAGCTGTCCAGTGGAGGAAACGCAAATACGTGGTTCTAGCTGACCAGATCTGCCATGCCAGTACACAAGGCCGTTCTCCCCGAGGGATTAGGAAGGAACGATCTTGCCACTCCGCAGTGTCGCGTGGATGACGCGATAATCGGGACAGTGGCGGTACTGAGTGCGATACGCGTCAATCACTGACTGATCAATAGTGGTGATGGAGATGGCAGAAAGATGGATAGGTTCCTGATTGTGATCAGGATGGCGGGACAAAGCATTGGCGACGCGGTTCGTTTCACCCTTGATGGGCTGAGTGGTGAAACTGAACTCGGATAAGTCACGCCACCAGCGTGCTTGTCGAGGGGAAAGCTTAGGCTTCGTGAGGAAAGCCTGGACAACTGAGTTGTCCGTGCACACCGTGAAGGGCGCCCCGTGCAGATAATGACGCCAATACCAGGTAGCATAAACTACTGTGAGAACCTCACGTTTATCGGCAGTGTAGTTTATCTTGGCAGGTAGTAGCTGACGGGAGTCGAAAACGATCGGCCAATCCCCAGCACGATCGTCGACAGTCCCATCCTCCGCGATGGTCGGGGAGTAAGTAACTGGAGGACTGTCAGTGGAGGGAAGTGGTGGGAGGGTAGGCGTCAGTCGAGAAGCAGTGTCAACAGGAGGGGGGGGGAAAGGAGGAACATGGGGGTAAGGTAAATCTGGAGGAGAGGGAAACACCTGAGAAAGGACATCTCCTACTGCAAAATCTAATGCATCGGTGGTGACGATAAAGGGACGATCAAAATCGGGAAGGCGAAGAACCGGCGCACAGGTCACCGCCTTCTTGAGGGCGCGAAAGGCGTCCGCGCACAGGGGTGTCCAAAACCACGGCGGGTTCTTCTGGAGGAGGGTAGAGGTAAGGACGAAGGAATACCTAACGTATCCCTGGATAAAATTACTATAGTAGCTGGTGACGCCTAGGAAACTGCGAAGCTGCTTGGCAGATGTGGGGACGGGCCACTCTGCAAGCAGTGATCTTCGCGTCGGCCATGTGGAGATCCTGGTCAGACACATGGTGTCCTAGGAAGTCCACTTTGCGCTGGGCAAAGCGACACTTACTGAGCTTGGCATAGAGACCATGCTTTCGTAAGCGTTGTAGGACTTCGCGGAGGTGCTTGAGATGGTCTTCTAAGGTACGACTGTAGACCAGGATGTCGTCCAGGTATACGAGAACGTATTCTTCAAGAATATCCTTGAAGATGTCGTTCATCGCCGTCTGGAAGGTAGCGGGTGCATTGGTGAGGTTGAATGACATCACCGTGAACTCGTAGTGGCCGAAGCGCGATCGGAAGGCCGTCTTCGGCTGATCCTCTGTAGCAACGCGGATGTGGTGATAACCGCTACGAAGATCGATCTTCGTGAAGAAGCGGTTGCCTGCCAGACGGTCAAACAGCTCATCCGCGCGGGGCATGGGATAACTGTTCTTAATTGTGTAACGGTTAAGGCCGCGATAGTCGATGCAGAGGCGGAGAGTTCCGTTCGCTTTGCGAGCAAAGAGGACAGGTGCACCCAGAGGGGAGTCACTCGGTTTAATGAAACCCAGTCGAAGGAGCTCCTCAAGCTGACGCTTGTGTTCCGTCGCCTCAGGGATCGAGAGTCGGTACGGTGCCTGATGGTGAACATGATAGTAAGGCACGAGTTTGATAGAATGCTCAACACCGCGCATCGGGGGAATCCCGCTGTATGAGAAATACGGTGGAAAGACATTGCGGTACTCTCGAATCAGGTTGCGAACGACCGACTCTAAGTCTGTCGTGAACCGTGTGAGTCCTCAGCGTCTGCGTCGGCACGAGACGTATGTGTGGACTCGACAATCAACAACGCAGAGGCCTGGGACATGGAGGGGGTATCCGCAGGCTGACGGGTGGACGTAGAGATGGGAGCCGCAAAGATGGAGGAAGGGTCAGGGGGATCGGGTGTCAGAGAGATGAGCTCAACCTCGGGACAAAATGGATCATAGCGAAGAAGATCCATGACGTTCACTGAGTAGAACATGACGTCCTCCTGTCGTATGAAGTGAGCAAACTGATGAGGGGAAGTAAAGGCGATGTCGGGGTGAAACCCTGAGGGACGAGGGTCCCGAGGAGGTAGGTCGGGAGGCGTGTCCCCCGTGGTTCCCATAAAGGGGACGCAATGGGTCCGACCACACTTCGTTTTGAGAACGAGTTTCTCGATCGCTGATTCGGCCTCTATGCTACGGAACCGGCGAGACCAGGGAGTGCAAAGAATAAAGTCGTACCCAATCTCCAGCACGTCGAAGTATGCGGAGGAATGGTAGCGCCGAGGCGTCTGGGTACTATCCGATGGCTGGAGGGGGAGGGAAAAGTGGAGGTCGAGGACCGTCTGATCGAAGAAGCGCTGCTTCTTGTTATCTCCGAGGGTAACGGAGATAGGAGAGCGTGACCCAGAGGTAGCTAGGCGAGTTTCCTAAACCACGGGAGGGCGAACGAAGTCTCCCTGGGAGCCAGAGTCCCGTAAAGCGCGATACACCCTCGTAGATGTCCCTAGGCGAATAGGGATAATTGGGGAGGGTACGATCAGGGTCAGAGAGAAGAGCGAGAAGACGATGCATGGGGCTTACGTGTCTCGTGAGTCGCTCCGGACGAGCCTGAAGAATGCTCAAATCTAGGAGATATGACACAACGTCATCGCGAGTCGCGAGATGAACACTGCAACGGGCTGTGCGGATGGCGTGACGCGTCGGAAGTCTCGGAGGGGAAGCACTAGGTGCGGTGGTCTGCTGTTGGGCAGACGTTGCCTTGACAGAAGATAGGGCAGAGGGAACTGCGTCTGTCGTATCCTGAGGATCCTCTGGTGAGGTAGCCAAAAGGGTGAACCGCGACTCGGTGTCGGGAAGCCGGCTACATGCGAGGCCTCAGTCATACACTGCACCGTGGCTAGCTGGGTGGGGCTGGCCGGGCGGGGCCGGGGGGGGGACTGAGATCGGCGCTGACGAGAAATGTCAGCGTAGTACCGATCGAGGGCGGTGTGGTATGGACACCGTGAGGAGGTGTGTCCATCCTGGCGGCAACGAAGGCAGCCGCGTCGGGCCTCGAGGGCGGCACACTCCTCGGGGGATAGAGCTCCGTGAGGAGGGACAAAACCCTGCGGGAGGTCTATCTAAGGAACTGTGGGTATGCGGGGGCCAGCCTGTGCAACCCGACTGCATGCACGACCCATGGTAGACATGGCCATCTGCAGGCGCTCGGCCATTGGGACAGTGTCGGCATCCAAGTGGTACTGGATGACGTCCTGAAGCTCGATGTCCTCGGGGGCGTCCACAATGGTAGGATCGAGCTCGGCTGAGGCGTCCTCTCGATACTCGAAAGAACTGTAGTGCCGAGAGAATGGCGCTCCAGGTCATGTCGGGCGACGAAAACGACCAGCAAACGAGGATCGACCTCGGGTGGTACCCTGAGACTTGGAGGTGGCGGCTGGCCGCGAAGAGGATGGGGCGACGGAGAAGCGACTTCACATCCTCTGGTACTGACGCGCAGCCTCGTATGCCAGCTCTGCGGAAGAGAATGATCGCCTCTATAGCTCTAGGCGGTAGTCAGTCGGCAGGCTTACAAGGAACCAGTCGGTGAGTGTGACCTCCGGTAGGAACGTCTCGTCACAAACAAGGCGAGCGTCCTGAAACACCCGGATGTGACGCTCCAGGCCGGCCGGTACAAAGGACCCGGACCATCTAGTCTGGGTGACGCGGTCTAAGGCGTCGGTGGCGTCATGACGAGCGCCGAAGCGGTCCTGAAGGAAGGCCGCGAAGTCGGCCAGAGTGGGGACCTCACCCACTCGGAGGCGCTGGGCATAATGATCCTCCCACGCAGTGGAAGGGCTACCTCGCAATTTGGTTGTGAGCACATCGCACCACAACTCCTGACGAGTGGTCGTCATAGAGAGTGTACGTGTTGCTATCTGCAACTAGCGAGAGACACGGGATATGCCATCATACTCGGGAATGTCCGTGGTGCTCACATGAGGATGTCCACTGTGCTGATGGAGGGGGGAGAGAGATCGTGGCGAGTGCACTGCGGCGACGTAAGTCGAGGCCGCTGCGGGGGCAGAGGTGGGGGAAGGCTCTGGGCCATGGGCGTTGGCAGATGGACCAGCAGACGAGGAGGCAACGGTCGCAGGTTGCTGTCCCGGAATAGCCAGGTAGGAGGGAAAAGGCTAAGGAGCAGGTCGAGGGAAACGAGCCTGCATCATGGGGACTGAAGGGGTGGTAGAGGAGGAAGGGTGGGCAACTTGTGATGGGTGAGGCTGTCTCAAAGCGAGGATCTTCGCTTGAGCCTGCGCAATTGTGGCCTGTAAAGTGGCCACTCGCTGAGTGCGTGGAGTCGGAGGTGGAGGAGGCGGAGTGGGTCTCCCAGTAGGAGGTGGAATCCCAGCCTGGGTAGTACCCTGCTGTGGGGGTACGGGGACGAAGGCGGGAAGAAGAGGGAGGAGTCGTATTGCCGCGATCGGTGCGGGAAGCTGGGAAGCAACACCGGGGTGGGTCGACGAAACTGCATGGCGAGACGACAGTAGTAGAGACGGTAGGGGTGGCCGTGGCCGGAAGAACTGCCGCAACGGACGGGGTGGTCTGAGCGGCAGCAGCACTCGCCACCGCTGAGGAGGAGTGCTCGGCCTCGCCCGTAGAGGAGGGGGAACCATAGTGACTCCGTCTCCGGAGTCCTGGGGAGTTGGAATCGGAGTCAGTAGAGGATGGGGTGTGGGAGCGGTGGGGAGACCGATGTGGGGAGCCCTTGAGGTGGTCGACGTCGAGGGAAAGCGCATTGATTTGTGCTTGCAACGGTCCAAGTGTACTGAGTTGCGCCTGGATAGCTACAAGGGTGGCATGAAGGTCCATGGTGTCCACATGAGCCTGAACAGGAGCCGCGGACTATGCGGTGACCTGGGATGTGGACTGCGCCGTGACGATCTCCTCAGGTGTAGCGCTCTCCGTGGGCAGTGGGGGGAGAGAAGTAGATATGGTGGGAGGTGGGGGGAGATATGGGTTGTGGTATGGGGACAGAGGACCACCGGTGAGAGGGAGGGGACCGGGAGAGCGGAGTGGGTAGTCGTGGGTCGGCTCGCCCCATGACTAGCGGGTCGCGTGCGAGATGGTGGCGCGAATCCGGTCGAGGGGGCCGTTCGGGTCCAGGGTGCCCGACGGGAGGAGGTAGAGAGTAGGGGGTTTAGGGAAACCCTAAACCCTAGAAAAACCCTAAGGAAACCCTAACCGGAGTTTAGGTGGTTAGGAGAAGGTGGCGGCAAACTAATCAAGAAAAAAAAATAATAACTATGGATGGGAGAGAGAATAGAGTAAACAGTGGATT